CTGTGGGAGGGCCACACCTTCCGTGGCTGTGAGTTGAGCCCAGACTCCCTACTCTGCCCTTGGCCGCCTGGGGAGCAGGACCTGCCTCTCCCCGCCCCGCACCCCCTCCTGGCCTTACGGAGCTGAAGCCATGGGCAGCCTGTGTCCGCCCGTCTAGTGGGCTGCCCGCATCCTTGGGCCTCCTGCAGGGTCCTCAGAGCTCCGCCCGGAGCAGAGATCTCATCAGTTGGTGGGTGCCCAGGAGGCTGGCGCCCCTCCGTGTGACACAGAAGAGGCCTGCAGGAGATCCAGCTGCTGCTGACCCTGGGTGACTTCCCAGCTGGGAGCCCCATTTCTGTCCCTCTGCTGTGAAATGGGGGCGGTAGCCCCGCCTTCTGGGGCTGGTGAATTGAGTGCCAGGAGTGCAAACCTGATTTCGGCCTGCGGCCAGAGCCTGGGCCAGCGGAAGCCTCTCCTCGGAGGCCCAGCTTGCCCTGGCCACCTCGTTGAGGCTTCCCTGGCGATTGGGGGGAACTGCCCAGAACCTTCAGAAACAAGGCTGGCCACACCCACTTGTGCCTGGGCATGGCCTAGGGGTGGGCTGGGGTGGTGGAGGGGTGAACGGCTAGATGGATGGATGGGTCTGCCAGAGTCTCTGGGATCCCCAGGGGAAGCCGTCCCCTCTGACCAGCAGCTAGGCGGTGTCGGATGGTGGAGGCCGCAGGCAGTTGTCTGGGTCTAGCCTGGGCTGTTGTGGGGGTGGGGAGGTCCTCTGCTGGGCTAGCCTGGAGTATCCCGCGGCTCTCTGAAGGAGGGCCGGCATGGTGTTGTGCCAGATGCTGCAACCTGGCGGCCATGGGTTGGTGGCCATATTCTTGAGCCTGTTCCACCTGGCAGTTTGGGGGTTTGCTCAGCTTAGCACCTTGCAAATCTTCTCGAGTTAGGACTTGCCCTCTATAAGCCTCTCCGAGCAGCCAGCCCTGGGCCAAGGGGCTGTTGGGTGGAGGCAGCGCGTGCTGCACGATGCTGTGTGGATCTGGGCTCTGTTCTTATTTCCTCCTGGGGTGGGAGAGAAAACTCGGTCCCCAGCTTCCCCAGATCCAGTCCAGCAGTCCCCAGCCCTGGGATCCACGTGGGCTGGGACAGGACTAGGCCCGTGACGGAGACCCTGCAGCAGGGAGACCTTTGTGCATAAAACAAGCAGACGTGGCTCTAGGGGGTGCTGGCCTGAGCCTGGCTGACTTCAGTGGACACCTGCTGCCACCCTGCCCGGGAGGATGCTTGAGCCAGGACCAGACTTTGGAGTCTGATGGACTTGGATTCACAGTGGGCTCAGCTCCCCGGTGCTCTGTGGCCTTGGGCAAGTTACCAACCCAGCTGAGACTCAGCTCCTTATCTGCAAGATGGGATGGTAAGGGTTTGGCCCAGTGCCAGCACCCAGGTGGGTGGCCGCCGTCACTCCAGGTACAGGTGGCTGCTCGACTGGGGTTACCTGCTTCTGGAGTCCCTGGCAGGTGGAAAAGTGAAGACACACCTGTGTCACCACCCGGCGGGAGGGAGAGCCATGGCCTCGTGTGACCCTTGTCCTTCTCTGTCTTTAGGAGTCACTCGGACCTCCAGCGGCCGTCTCCGGAGGCTAGGTGACCCAACGGGTCCAGGTAAGTGGTTTGTTGGGCCTTGGCCTGCTGTGGGACCTGAGTCTCCACCTGGCCTTCCTGGGTGGGTGCAGCCCTGGGGGATGTGGTCTTAGGTGCTGCACATAAGGTGGGGGCCATGTCCTTGTGGGAGCAGGGGCCGTCCAGCTCCACAGGTAGCCACCCCCAGGCATGGGAGAAGCCCTGTGTGCAGGCTGGAGGAGAGAGCCGGAGGTGGTTGCTGCAGGGTGGCCTCTGTTGGAGCCGTGGAGGGTGGCAAGCCGTGGAAGGGTGGCTTTGGTGTGGGCCGCTCAGGGCTGATCCTAGACCACAGCGCCAGCCCCCTGCAGCCTTGCCGCCTGGAGCAAATCCAGTCTGCATGATCCAGGATTAAGTCAGGGGCTCCTGTGGTGACCTATGTGGTCAGCTTTTCTCCCGATGACCAGGCTGAGCTCTGGGCAGGAGTTGCCTCTCCCAGGCTTGCAGAGGCTGGTCCAACCACGGGGCCAGCCCGGGCAGGGGCTGAGGGCTGTGTGGCCATCACAGCTTCTGTTCCCAGAGCCCACCTTGGCTCTTCCTTCCAGAGGCCAAACTGGGGCATGTGTCCTCATTCTGGTGGCCTCTGTTCAGAAGAGATGTTGGGACACAGAGATGAAAGGGACTCAGAGATGATCCGCTCTTGGGGAAGCCCCGCGATGTTGCCCTCATCTGCATGTGTGTTGGGGACTAAGTGCCAGACCCAGGCTGGACAGAGGGACATATGGAGACGGAGCAGGCGAGGGCTGCACCTCACGAGCAGCTGTTGTGCAGGATGAATCAGAGTCATAGAAGGGCCTGGGAATCCCCTCGGACAAGTCATCCATGAATCAGACGGACTCACTCTGGCCCTTCCCAGCTGTGCCCCGGCCCCAGGGGGACGAGCCACGAGCCCCTCAGAGCCCACAGTCCCTTTGAGGCCAGCTCTGTCCAGCGGAACATTCCACTCAGCTCTGTCCAGGAGAGTACTAACCACACGCGCCTGTCGCGCACTTCAGATACACATTTGTAACTTTCTTCATTCATTTGCTTAGAATTAATTAGTTAATTTTCTATTAGTTTCCAGTTAGTATTGACATGCGGCTAGCGGCTGTGGACATGGACAGCCCTAGACCATGTTGGCTGCCTGGGGTCCCAGAATTCTGTACCCTGCACCCTCCTGCACCAGTTCCAGGGTCCATCCTCCTGTGCTCTGTGCTGCCCACCCCAGGCCTGCGGGTGGCTGTGGGTGGCTCTCTGCAGGGAGTGGCCACGGTAACAGGGGTGGCCTGGGTGGCCTGGGTGACTGTGGATGTGCAGTATGTGTGAGGCCCTTGCAGTTCGGGGTGAGATGGGGGTGGGGGTAGAGGAGGTGACGCCCCGGCTGGAGTCCCCTGGGATTGTGGTCCCACCCCCAGACAAGCTGGTCCACCAACCACTTGGTAGTCCGGGGCCTTTTCTCTGGGGCCCCTTGGCTTTGTGACTGGTCTTCCCCTCCATCTCCCTCCTTCTTGCTGGTCAGCCTCGGTGGGGTGGGCTAAGGGGTCCCACAGCACTTTGGGGGGCTGGCACCTCGGACTGCGGGGACAAAGCCTCTCTCTGGGTGCTGCTTCTCTGTGCTCAGACCGGGCGGTTCTGTGCCGTCAGCACTTGGCAGCACCGCCTCGGCCGCCTTGGAAGCCTAAGGCATAATTTGCCGAAGCCCCAAGCTGCAAGCCGGTGATCTAGGTTCCCTACGGCCGCCTGCTGACACACGCAGTCCGCCTCTGTGGGCTCCGGCTGGAGGGAGACACCCTTTCTTGGCTCCCAGCTCTAACACTGTGGCCATGACAGGGGTCTAGGCAAGGCGTCCTTCCTGGGCCCAAACTCCCAGTCCTAGCTGTCCATGTGGGGCTCCCATTCACCCCTCCACTCCTCCCAGCCTCTGTCACACATCCTGGTGACCTACTGAGGACTCCACCCTGTCCCTGTCCCTGTCCCAGAAGGGCAGTGGGCTCCACGTGCAATGGGGCACACCTGTAATACCAGCGACTTGGGAGGCCGAGGCAGGAAGATCGCGAATTCCTGGCCAGCTCAGCAACTTAGCAAGACCCTGTCCCCCAAATTAAAAAGGGCTGGGGATGCAGCTCGTGGTGAAGTGCTTCTGGGTTCAGTGCCCAGGACCAAAATATAAAATAAAAAAGTATAAAGAATAATAGAGCAGAACACCAGGTACCCACCTTCCCATTTAAGCAATGAGACAGGACAGTTAAGGTCGAAGCCCCCGGGGCCCTCTGCCCCTGCTTGCTCCCTCAATGACACTCTCCTGAACTGGCTGGCCTTGGTCAGGCCTGCCCGTGCCTGTGGTTCTTTGTCTGAACGACCTGTGTTTCCTTTGTATACCTTCGGCATTGCATAATCGCCGTCCTCTGCACTCTGCTTGTCTACACACTAGGGACTTTGAGATTCTGCTGTGAGGATCTGGGTTTCTCTGCTTCGTTTATTTTGACAGCAAACCGCATTCCTCTGCGGGGGGAGGCGGATTCTGCCCCTGGGCTTGTTGGTGGGCTTCTCTGGCGGCCCCTCTGCTGCGGAAATGGCCAGGAGCCTTCTCACACACGTGGATGGGCAGAGGCGTTCCCCAGGTGGCTCGGCTGGGCTACCGGATGCCCATCCCTCCTACATGTTGCCAAAGCTCCCTCCAGAGCCCTGGGCCTGCTCCCACGCCACCCCGCTACCCCGCTACCCTTCCTATGTCCTGGCAGCAGCCTTTCAGACCACAGTCTCAGGCGACCTTTGGCCCGGTTCCCACGGTGCGTGCAGTTCCGGGGCTGTGTCTGAACCTCCTACCTCCAGCCCGGACCCTGGAGCCTTCTGTGCTGCATCCAGTGCGTCTCTGGTCTGCTCATTCCTCTCTCCCCCACCTCTGGGCCCTCTGGCCTCCTGCCCAGCCCCGCCATCGGGCCTCAGTATTGCACCGAGTGACGTCACTGCCCACAGGTCAGGTCCAGAATGTGACTTGACTGGAAACAGACCTTTTCAGGTGGAAAGAACTTCAGGCAGGTCACCTGGGTTAGGGGTGGCCGGATTCCAGTGGCAGGGTCCTCATAGGAAAGCAGAGGAGAAGCGCGTGGGAGCCAGGAGAGGTGGGAGTACGCAGCCTCAGGCAGGAAGACCCCCCACCCCGACCGCAGAGCCTTCCCAGGAGCCTGGCCCTGCCACACCTTGGCCTGGGACTTCTGGCCTCCAGAACAGTTAGCCCCCAGCTTGTGGTGCTTGGTTACAGCAGCCACAGGACCCTGGCACACACCCCCTGCCAGGCTGCTGTGGGTCAGTGGCCCTTGCCGCGGAAGGACGGCCCTGAAATACTCTGCCTTGGGCGTCTGAGCCTGGCGGGACGCCTGGCCAGGCCCCACCCAGGGAGCTGTTGGCCTAACACCCGTGACACTTGGCTGCAACTAGCAGTTGAATTGCCACCACTCCAGGAGACAGCAGGGCCGTGGGGCGGGCCTGCCAAGCCAGCGCCAGCTGTCTCCAGGGGCACCGTGCCATGTGCCTTAGCACAGAGGGGCTGCTCTGGGCCTGTGTTGGGTGGCTAGCTGCTGTGCCCGGCCACGTGGGCCAACGCCCGCCTTGTGGAGGAGCCGCTGCGGGACAGGCTGGTGGAAGTTTGCTGCTGGGGACGTTGCCTCTGGGCTCCCGGGTGCACCTCACTCCTTCCCTCCTCTCCCTGCATGGATGCCTGCGCCGCCTTCTCTTCTCTAGAGCACCAGCCTTGCCACCCCCTCGGTACTCAAGTGTCGACCTCTGCCTCCTCAGCACCCCCGGTCAATCCCCCCCTCCTCAGTGACCCTTGGTGAGCTGCTCATGGTCTTGGTCATGTCCTGGTCCGGCCTCGGTGGTCTCTCCATAGATGTCCTCATCCCCACCCCATCTCCCTGCCACAAGCCCCTCCCTATACACAGCCAGGGGACACTTACTGTCCTTCTCCCATGCCAGACTCCCGCCACCTCACCCTTTCCCACCACCTCACCCTGGCCACAGCCCTCTTACTTACAGAGCCCTGGGTGTTCCCCAACCCCGTGTGTCCACTGTAAGCCCCGAGCACCAGGCTCGAACTGCTCCCTGCCTGGCCCTGACCACCTCTCTGTCGGTGTTCCTGTCCCTGCTCACCTCAGCAGGCATTCCCTCTGGGAAAGAGCCCTCCCCTCCCTGTGGTCCCTGCTGGGCTGCAGGATAACAATGGCTCCAGTTGCGGCGTCCTGTGAGCAGGTTGCCTTGGTTCATCTGTCCCCTCTGGACCACAGGGGGTTTTTGCAGAGCAGACAGTGGGCACTGACCAGCTGACCCTGAGAAGAGAAGGCTGGGGAGACAAAAGGTTGGCTGACTCCACACCCGGGAAGCCCCACGTCGGGTACACCACGAGGACAGGATGCTGATTAGAGGTCATGCTCCAGGTGTTTATGTCAACAGACACTCTGCCGTCATATGCACCTAAAAAGAACAAATAAAGAAGTTAACTTAAAATAGAGGTATCGGCCTTCTTGGGCTTTGGCTGAGAAGTAGCTCTCCCCTTTGCCTGCCTTCTGGGGAGGCAGGTCACGGCAATCCACTGTCTCCAGGGAGGGCAAGGAAGACAGTAGAAGGGCTGGAGTGGTCAGGCAGCGCTGGGCTTACATTTAAGTTACACCGTGAGTGCAGAGCCCTGCCCACTGCCCAGGCACACTGGCCGCTGGTGGCTCCTGGGCTGACATGGAGCACTGACACCCTGGCAGAGAGCTCTGTGGCCAGGTGCTGGTTGGGAGCACCACGCGCTGGCTTTCAGTCCTTGGGCACCTGCGGAGCAGGCAGTTGGGCTCCCGGTGGGAAGTAGAAGCGCCAGCTCCTGTCTCACTCTAAGAGGGACCCAGGCTCCCCCGGCCTCCCCTGGCCTCTGTCTCTCCTGCTCTGAGCAGACACCAGCCGAGGCCCCTGTAGGAGTGAAGCGCCAGCTCTGGCTCCTGCAGCCCTGGCTGGATGACTGAGCATGAGGCCGTGAGCGGAGGAATCCGCCCTGGCTGGGCTGCCTCTCCCATCCCCTTGGTCCCCTTCTACGCTGACCTGGAGGAGCTCCCAAAGCCGCCGGCTGGCCCACGCCATCGACACCAGTGAACCCTGCAGCAGCCCCGGGAGCAGAGAGGAGCTGGCTTTTATTGATTCGGGAGCAGACGAATCTTGAGGTCTAATAAAAAGTGCCGAGAAGATTCCAGAGAAGATGCAGCCCCCGAGGCTGGGTCTCGGCTGCGCTGGAGGCTGCTTGGTGGGTACCGCAGCAGCAACTGTGGCCGGGTCGGCACCCCGGGGCCATGGGACCCAGCGCCTTTATTTTTAATTCGAGGGGGCAAACTTAAGTGGGCAAGTTTGGGAAAAAGCAGGAAATGAACAGAAAAGTCTTTTATTTTATTTATTTATTTTTGGTGTTAGGTATTAAGCCCAGGGTCCTTTACTGCTGGACTACAACCTCAGCCCTTTGTATTTTACTTTATTTTGGGAGTCTCCTAAGTTGCAGAGGCTCACCTCAAATCTGCCATCCTCCTGCCTCAGCTTCCCAAGTCAGCAAGATTCCAGGCATGTGCGGCAGCACCTGGCTCGGGGAAGTCACTGTTGAAAGTGAGCCTGCACGTCCCTGTAGCTGGCACTCACCGTGAAGGTTCCCAAGTCCCTGCATTAGGGAGGGGGCATGGCAGGTGGCAGGAAATCTGAGCCCAGACCATTAGAAAGTGTGCTTTCGGCAGACCCTCCCCCACTCCTGCAGGACCTCCCCAGGTGGGCGCCAGGAGCAAGGTGGTGCCACCCTGCCAGCTTGATGTCGGGGCCGCTGCTGCCCACGTCAGAATCACGTGGAGGTGTGCTGCTTTCCCAGATAGCTGGGCCAGCCCCAGGGCCTCCTGGATGGTGTTGACAGCTCAGGCCACCCTGGGGACACCTCACAGTTTCTGTCCCCTCTCAGCGGGAGTGGGGCATGCCATGGCTTTCTGGAGGGGACCAAGGTGAGGCTGTGGTGCTTGGGGCGAGAGAACTGAACCCACTGCTGGGCCGGCTGTGTGAGAGGTGGGTGGGGACAGAGAAGTGACCCTTGTGCCCCACAGGGAGAGGAGGCTCAGTCTGCGGATCCTGGCAGGCTGGGGCAGGAAGTTCCACTGAGGAGGACAGTCAAACCGAGAAGGCTCCCGTGGAGCACTGTCCCTGGGGGTCCAGCTGCATTTGGGGGGCAGGACAGGAGGGAGGGACGACCATGGATGATTCCCCAACAGAGGGAGCCTCTGAGGAGCCTTGACAGAGCAGCTGTCCCCAGGCCCTGCTGGAGTGAGGGGTGGCCTCTGGCCTTCATTCTGTTGCTCACCCTGAGCAGGGTCCAAGCAGAGTGAGTGGGGCCCTCGGTCCTACGTGCAGGTTCTGGCTGCCCTGGGGCCTGGCCACGTCTAAGAGGCGAAGTGGTCCTCACCGTCCCTCTTTACCCTCCGCGGGCCCCTGGCTGCTTCTCCAAGTGGGCTCTGTGCCGGCGAGCGCCACTCTGCAGTTAGGAGGGTCTGAGAACTGTGACAGTGACCCGGCAAAGCCACCAGGGGTGTTCTGATGTGAGGTGAGGACTGAGGTGCTGCTTTTGAATCTTCTGGAAGGGGCTGTTGGTGACGGCACCCTGACTAGGGGCAGGCCGGGGGTGGGAGCTGGGGCTTGTGGCTGGCACAGTGAGTTCCCAGAGCTGTGGCCCCAGGGCCCTGCCTCCCCGGAGCGGCAAGCCAGGTCCACTTGGGAGACTGAGCTGTCTTGGACGCCTCACTGCGCCGAATACGCTGTCATTGCCCGGGGAGTGTGAGACGGGGTAAGGGGATACACAGCCCCAGATACCTCCTCACTGTCCCGCCGAGGGAGGAGCATGTGGGACCCACTCCTGGGACTTGGGCTAGCCTGGAAGGCTGCCCACCTGAGTCCTGGACACCACAGGCAGTGGGCGGGAGCCTCGTTTCTCCTGGCAGCCTGGCCTTACCTCCGCACCCTGCTCGGAGCTGGCTCGTGACTAACGTGGGCCTCCTCGGAGCCAATGGGCGCCGCCAGGCTTTTGGTTTCACGTTGTCCCCTGCTTGGGCCAGAATGCTTGCATTTTTAGGCACAGTGCAGAAACAGACCTTGAGCTCAGCTATGCCATGGAGAACTGAGGGTCAAGGCTGAGCTGGGCACTGCACAGACCACAGCAGTGAACCCAGAGCAGGCACAGCCCTGGCCGTGGCCACTCCCCGTGTTTCCGCCAGCTGGCCAGGCCGGTGGCCTCCGGGGCCTTCCTGGCTTGCCTGCAGGAGGGACACGGTGCTGGAGAGGCTGGAGTAGGATTAACAGGGCTTCTTTGTATTTTTCCTGTGGTTTCTAAACTCAATACAGTGAACAAACATTACAGCTGTAATCAGAGAAAAAAGCAGAGTTTTTTTCAGAGTCAGAAGAGTACACAGCTCACCCCCAGGCCCCCTCGATTCTCACTGCTCTGTCAGTGAGGGTCCGTGGTTAGAGGCTGAGTAACAGAAAACAGCCTCAGCGAACGTGCCTCTTGATCCGTCTGGGGTGCTGGCTGTGGGGTCTCATGGCTGCGGTAGCGAGCTCCCCCAAACTGGGTGCTAAAACTCCGCAGCTGTGCCCTCCCAGGGCTCTGGAGGCACCGCGTCTGACCTGAGCTTCGCTGGTCTGAATCGAGTTGTCTGCAAATCCCGGCTCCCTCCAGAGGCCAGGGGAGGCCCCGGGGCCTCTCCCAGCCTTCAGGCGGAGTCTCGCCCTCTCTCTCCACGTTCCCCGTCCTGCTCCGTGCAGCAACAGCTCCCTCTTACATGGGAACATGTGATGGCCTTAAGGGTCCACCTGGGTGATCCAAGGCCCTGTCCCCATCCTTCACTTAGTCACACCTATAGAGACCCTTTTCCAAATCGGTCACAGTTGCGGGTTCTAGGAACTAGGGCCCTTATTCAGCCCACTGCCGTGACCAAGACACTGTTCCCACCTTCTGTGTGTGCAGACTGTCCTGTGGGGCTGCCCTTCAGGCTCCTTGGGAGGGGGCAGTTGCTATTCCGTGTCTCCCAGGAGGCTGGAGATTATACCCCCACCCCCCGAATCCTGCAAGAAATGCCCTTGCCGTAGGCCAGTGCATTGGGGGGTCCTGTCCCAGGCAGGGAGGGGGTCAGGTGGCAAAGTGTCAGGGACACATCGGGGCCTTTGGCTCTGTCGGCCAGCTGAGAGCGATACCGACACCGGAGCCTTACCTGGGCACGCATAACTCACCTGTGCTGAGGCAGGGATCGTGAACTTGGAGGCCTCTGGGGGGCAGGCACCTAGTGGGAATGCGTAAGAGACCGTGGGGACTGGAGCAGATGCCAAGGGAGGACTGCAGTCTTCAGGCCAGGAAGGAAGTGCCCCCGTCTGACCACATCCCCTCACTTTGTCAAGAGAAGCTAAAAATCTGGAGTTTTTAGGGAAGTAGCCTCAGTTTAACACTGACACAAATATACATTTCCTTTAAACAGAAATGAGAAAGCAAAACCTCTCTCTGCCTCAGTTTTGCAGGGACCCTTGCGGTGGGGATGCCTCTACCCTACCTGGGACTTACCTGCTCTGCCCAATTCCTCCACCCCTGCCCAGACACTGGCTGGGTGCTGGTGGGGACCCCGAGGTTCCAGGTGAGCAGCCCCTGGAACTCCAGTGGGAAAAGGCAGGGAGCTGCCCACCCGCTGGGAGCCGTGGAGTCTGGGGAAATGAGCCACAAGAGGACTTGCTCCCTCCCAGGGGACTGCCCAGACTTACTGACTCATGCTCTGTGGTAGGAATCTTCCAGGAAGCCTCTGCTGGGGTGGGGACGGCAGCTCCCTCTGACACAGCAGGCTAGGCTAGCGGCAGAGGGGCACCTTCGTAGGGTTCATCCTGGGCAGGTGCTCTGGAACCTTCTCCCAGCCCGCATGCCTGGGGAGGTGGCCATCCCCCATCCAGCCCAGTCGGGGTGCCAAGGAAGAGCCGGGCCAGCGGGGCCAGAGGCAGGCGAGGCAGGCAGCAGGAACTGGGCTTTTTAAACACTTAAACCCCAGGAAATCGCGGCATCGCTGGACGGGGAAAATGAAAGACTTTGGAAGTCGCCAGGAATTTGACTCTGCGAGTTGGTTTCCAAGAGCCTAAGTTAAGCATCTCCAAGTGGATATTAAAAAGGAGCAGCGAGGCTCAGGGCGGCGGGGGCTGGAGGGGGTGGAGAGAGGACGCCGCTGCCGGAAGCTGGACGCTGGACGGCTGAAGCCACCGCTCCAAAGGCCAGGCGGCCGGTCCTCGCGCAGGAGGACCCTGGGCGCGTCGGAATCCCTCCGGACCCACCTCTGGGCCCCTCTCCTCGGCTTTCCCCCCTCCCGTCTCTCTCCTCGCTGCCTTTCCCTCCTGTTTTGAAGAGACAATGCTACTTCAGTTTGGAGCACAAACATATGATCAGCACATGGAAATGTGGTAATTTGGATGCATTCGTGATTGCAACAGATTGAAGAAATTAGACCAGACAAAGAGTGTTTTTGGAGGAGGAGGAGGAGGAGGCAGAGAGAGGGAGGGCCACGGACGGGTGAGAAAGGGGAGGACGCCTGCCTCTGAACCAGGGCCGCTGGGACTCCCGCCTGCTGCTAAATATACCCGTAAGAATGGAGAGGGACCGGATCACAGGTAGGCAGACGGCCCTCCTCGCCCCACTCCCCCGCCCAGTTCCCCGGACTGGGCTCTATGAACGTTGCGGGAAATAAGCACCCAAGGGTCACTTTTACTCATTTTTTTGAGAAATATTTTCCTTTTGACTGTTCTCAGTTCGTGGGGTGGAATGTTTCTCCCAAACCTAAGCGCTTCCAAGTCTGGCTTTTATTTAAGCTCGGCTCTCCTCTCTCCTGGCAATTTCTCTTTCATTTTCCAACATGCCAGTTTTGCATCTGCGTCCACGGTGATGTGGGCACGAAGGCTCGGGCAAGGGTGGGGGCCTGCAGTGGCGCTCGGGGTGGGCGCCGCCAGGCCTGTTTGTCCACTGTGTGGTTTGTGTTCTTGCTGCCAACCGAAGTCTGTCTTCAAGGCTGTCTTGGTCTCCTCCCCGAAATAGCTTTTCTGGGCCTCCCTGGCAGTTGATTATAGAGCTGGAGGCTCCCGGCGCTCGGAGGAGGCGTGCGCGCGCGTGCGCATGTGTGCGCTCTCGTGTGCATGCGCACGTGCACAAGTGGCTCCCGTGGACCCCCAGCAGGCACGGGCCGTGGGGCGGGGCGTGAGTGGAGAAATGAAAGGGAGGCGTCTCCTGCTTTGACCTCCCCAGTGAGGAAACCCGATTTCCAGGCCAAGACCTGGAAGTGCCGAGGCGCTGCGAGGGGGCTGCGGTCCTCGGGATGCGCTGGAGACTGTGCCCACGCATGGGCGCACCCCTCTGAGCCGGGTGCCAGGGGTCGCCCGCGGGTGCAGAATCCTCAGGTGTGCGCCGCGCTCCCGGCTCCTGGTGTCCTGAGGTGCCCTGGGTCATGCTAGCCTAAGAACGCCGTCCCATAAGTGCCCGTGGCCCTGGTCTGTCGTTGTGATGGGGATCCTGTGTGTGTAGGGGGTCCCTAAAAGACCCCTCAGTGGCCCTTTGGAAGGATGGGGTCCTCCCCTGCCACTCTTGAGGCAGTGTCAGAATTGGCTGGGCAGCTCTGAGAGGCCGGCCGGGAGGGTCCTGCCGTGGGGAGTGGGGAACGTGCAGTATTTTGGGGCACGTATTAATAGGCGTGATAGACGCAGCCCTGGAGGTGGGCAGCCAGAGACCCGCAGGAGGATGGCCGGCTGTGAAACTGCAGCCCTGCTGATCCTGCTTGAGCTCAGGCATAGGTGCAGAGCCCGGGCGCCCTGGGCCGTCTGCAGGGACTGGGGCAGGGGCCACTGGGAGAGACCCTCTCTAGTCCTGGGAGGGGTGTGGAGCTGACCCCAGAGCAGGCCCACCTCCCACAGGCTGCCTCCTCAGCTGCAGCTGGGGAGGACAGGTCACTCCAATATTCTGGCTGAGAGGGGGCCTCTGGTCCAGCCTTTCTTTCTTTATTTATTTAGTCATGCTGGGGATCACACTCCAGGCCCCAGGGATGCTGGGCAAGGGCTCTACCCGTGAGCCACACCCCACCTCAGCTTTCATTCTATAGATGACCATGCAGGACCCCATTGGGTGACTACCTGGGGATCTGAATGTCAGAGCACAATCCCTGTTTGGATGTGTTTTAATTTTAAAAAGAATTTTTTCTTTTCTTTTTCCCCCGCTCCTGAAACCCCGTTGTCAACCGGCAGTAGGAGGCAGGAGGAGAACCCAGAGCTGACTCCCAGCATGCTTTGCAGGCCACCAGGCCTCCCCTGTGGTCCTTAGCTGAGCTCTTGGCTCCAGTTTCTGGGCAACTCTTGTCCAGGCCCTGCTGGGTGACCTTGAGGGGTTATCCATGAGGCCCTAGGTGACATCCCTCCCTCTGGCTTGTGCCCCTTTGTCCCACCGTCAGTGGTGACAGCTCCTTTAGTCCTCACCAGTGATCCAATGGCCATGGGGCTGGGGGCAAGGGTGAGTGTATGTGTGGTCAGAGGCCTGCCCGCTGGGCACCCCACCTGCCGATCCCTAGACACAGCTGTGGACGCTGCTCACACCCCTGGCTGTTGGGTCCAGCCTGGCTGCCCAGCCGCTGTCTGGGGGTGGTGGTGGCCTGGTCCCACCCTGGTGGGTCCACAGTGGTCTGCCCAGCCTCAGGGAAGGGACTTCTGCAGATGCCAGTGGCCCTTGGATCTGCTTCCTCTTTCTTCCTCTTTCTTCCTCTCTCCCCTCACCTGCCTCAGGAGCAGGGAACCCTGGGATCCCCCCACTCCGACTTCTCTGAAGCCGCTGCCTTCCCTGGGAAGATGCTGTCTGCTTGTCAGCGGGGTGTGAGTCACGGAGCAGGGACAGGCTGCCGAGGCACAGAAGGCCATTCCTCCAGCCAAGGTCGGGATTTTTGTTTTGGACTGGCTTTGTGGCTTTTACCAATTAAGCAGTTTTATCTTGTTCCAAGAGCTTGTACTTCAGTAGGGACAGCATCTCCAAGAAGGGGACTTCCCCTGGGAGCTGCTGCTCAGGGGGCCTCGGGAGGGTGGGAGCGGCCCCGCGGGGAGGCGGCGTAGCCACTAAAGTCGCTGTGCGGTCACCATGCTGGCCCAGCGTCCTGGAGCCGCCCGGCCGTCCTGGCCTGGGTGTTCTGCTGGTGGGTATTTGGCCAGTGCAGAGGGGCAGAGCTGGGCCCTCTGCCGTGGACCACCAGGTAGCTGGAGGTGCCTGGAGTCTGTGCTTCGCTGTCCCTTCTGTCCTTGCTTTGTGGCCCCTCATCTGTGAGCCCCTGGGGAGTTGGCATCCTGGCCTGGGTGGGCGCTGTGGCCACCGCTTCCTGCCGGCGCGGAGCTGTGCACCTTGGCTCTCAGCTCCAGGCTGAGGGGTTCCCCTGGGGCCTTCCTCGCTGTCTTCCTGCGCTGACCTGCTCTGACGGGCCGGACTTTGGTCCCTGTGGGATTTCCTGGTGGCTCACTCGGGAGCCTGCTCTTTCCCAGCTCTGGAGGCCAGAGTGCAGGTCAAGGTGCACGGGGCTGGCCGCTCCGGAGCTCGGGGGCATGTGCTCGGAGACTCTCCCGGCTGCTGGTGACCTCTTCAGCACTCCTTGGCTGGTAGCCACCTCACTCCAGCCTCTTCCTCGTCACACAGCAGCTCCCCTGTCCCTAATGCCCCTCTTTCTTATAAGGACACTCGTGGGTTTGGGGCCCACTGGGTGACCAGGGATCATCACATCTCCAGATCCTTAATTCTGTCTCCAGAGACCCCTTTTTTTCTGAATAAAGCCACCTTCACAGGCTCCCAGGGGACCTCATTTGGGGGCCACCATCCATTCAGTCCCCATGTGTCCTGGATGCACCAGAGGTTCTGAGTCTCAGACCCCCGCTGGCCTGCCTGGGCCTTTGCTGTGGCCACTGGCCCCTGCACTTGGTCGCTTACTCCTGGTGACGCGAGGAGGCCCAGCCCTGAGTGGGATTCCAAGGTGAGCTGACTCGGCTCCCCAGGGCGGGCTGGCCAGTGGGCAGAGGGGTGAGGCGGGGGCGAGACCCACAGATCCCAGTCCATATCGTTGCTCGCCAGCTTCATGTCTGCCCAGAAATTCTTCTGACTCGTGTTTGTTTCTTGGTGAAGCCCCTCTAAGAGTGACCGGAGCATCACAGTGCTGTGCATCAGAGAAGGGCCTTAGATAGCCACATCGCACAGGATCAGGGCTGCATCCTACTGTCGGGGTGGTCACTGTGGACACTCTGTTCCCAGGGACTTGGGGTGCCCAGGGCTCTGCTTGGACTCTGACCTGGAGATCGAGGGGATGCTGTCCATTCATTCATTCAACAAACCGCGCCCACTGCGTACCTGCGCTGGGTACCATGGAGAACACACTGGACGAGCCTTGACCTAGGGCTGCGCGAGCCCCTGCGTGACAGAGCACAGAGGTGCGGCCCGTGGAGGGAGGGAGCTGGGTCAGGAAGGCTGCCCCCGGGCAGACACCTCAGGCCGAGCTCGAGCTCGGAAGGCGAGGCCTGCGCGGAGCTGCAGGGCCTGAGGCCTGGGGGCTGAGGGAGTCCGGAGAGACTGATGCCGACGGCTCCTGGGTGCTGTCAGGCCTCTTTGTGGACCTGCAGGTCTGGGGAGGCCTGGTCTCTCACCCGTGGCATGTCCACTGCCTGCCCCGTCTGGCACTCCGGGGGCCTTGGCCCCTGAGCGTGGCTGTGTTGGAAGGCCCTGGAGGGAAGCGGCTCAGGATGTGGCTCTCGGGACTCAGGCATTTCCCATGTCCCACCCCGCACCCGGCTCCTCTGACGTCCACTGGACAGCCCTCCTCTGCCACCCTGCCTCTGACAACCTCACCGTTGGAGGGAGTTGGGAAGGAGACCCTGGGCTTCCTCCTGGCCCCGGGGGCTCATCTCACTCCACCCTCAGACGGGTTTGTCTGCCCTCCTGCCCTCCTGCCCAGGGTGGACGCTGCAGCTGCCCACTGTGCCTCCTGCCCCCAAACCACATGGGCAGCAGGGTGCCCCAGAGCTTCCCTTGAGCCCTATGCTGTTGTGTGCGGGGCCCGGGGCGCTGCCTGGCCGCCCCTGTCCTTGGCGGAGGCTCTGGGTGCCTGGGCACAAGCCACCAAGCAGGGAGGCCCAGGGTCCCCTGAGGGGCTCCCGAAGCCCAGGCTGGGCAGCGGCTCTCGGGACCGGCAGGGCCAGGGTGCTCTGGGGAGGGGATGGCATGGCATGGGCTGCGGTAGGTGTGGGGACCCCTCTTCCTAGTAGG